AAAAAAAAAAAAAAAAAACGAAAAAAACAAAACAAAACAGGAATGGACAGGACAAGATAGTATTGTAAGCTTATACCTGCTGGCTTCTATAAGGAATGCTACACACATATATGAGATTTATGACTGCAGTTTAAAAAATTTTTAAGAGAATTATCATCCCTATGATAAAATGGTATTTTTCTCTTCAGACCTTGTCTCACATTTGATGGTGTTTGTATGAAAGAGTACTCCCCTAAGAAAAAGATTATGAAGTTTTATAGGTATAGATATAAATACAATGCAGACACTCCATGTCAGTTTCTACTGTACTGTTTAAAGGCTGTTCTTCATTGGATAATGTTACAATCTGTACATCCAATTTGCAACAATAAAAATATACATTCTTTTGGATTTTTATGACTGAAAGTAATATTGTTAGTAATAAGAAGAGGCTGTTTGGTGTAAGTATACAACCCTTGTATTTGGCTTTGGATTTTAATCCTGCCATTTTATATTTACCTGATCCTGGGTAAGTTACTTGCTTCAGTATCTCATAGTTTTTTTGAGTATATGATTATGTATAAAAGCTCAGTACATTTACATAAATGTTCTTTTTCAATATTAATAATGAATTCGTTACATATGGATATATGTATCTAGTTATTATCCTACAAAACTTGTATTACTATTTTTGGACAAAGCATACTTAAACGCTCACTCATTTGGGTTAAATGTTATTATAGGCTGAAGAACTTAATGGAGAAATAAATGATATTAAAAATACATTATCATCACTTAAAGAAACGCATAGTAAGTTACAAGAACATTACAACAAAGTATGTGATCAGAAAAAGTTTGAGGAAGAGAAGAAACTTCAGGTAAATTTCAAGGGTGTTGGGATATAAACTGTAGTTACCATCACTGATAATTTTCTCTTTGCTTATTATGTTTCTAAATTTCCAAAAATGGGTTTAAGGTTGAGGGGTGGCTGAAGTGGTAGGGTACCAGCCATGCGGGATAAGAATGAGTATAAGCATATTAGTTAACTTCTCTTCCATACAGTAAGACAAAGAGGGCTGGGAATGTGGTGTAGTGGTAGAGTGCTTGCCTAGCATGCATGAAGCCCTGGGTTCAATTCCTTTGTACTTCATAAATAGAAAAAGCTGGAAGTGGTGCTGTGGCTCAAGTGGTTGGGTGCTAGCCTTGAGAAAAAGAAGCTCACGGACAATGCCCAGGCCATGAGTTCAAGCCCCAGGACTGGCCAAAAACAAACAGAAAAACAGACAAAGATCAAGAGTCCTAATTTGGGGTATGGATTTCTAGTTGTCCCAGGACATATTTGTTGAAAATATCCTACTTTTTTATATTGTACCTTGGTAATTTCTTTAAAAATCAATTGATTAAATACATATGTGCCAATTTCAGGACCATTCAGTTTCATTGATATCTATATTTAAACCAGTACTACAATGTTTTTAAGAAATGGTAGCATTTTTAAGATGTCTTAGGATGTGGTATAAGCTCTTCAGTTCTGTTGTTTTATCAAAATTATTTTATCAGTGTTTAATTTTCATATTACTTTTAGAATCAGCTTATTCTTCTTCCTCTTTCTCCTTCATTTCCTTTTCCCCTTCTTTTCCCTTCCCTTTCTTTCTCTTTCATTCTAATCTTTCTTTTTCCTCTGTCTTTCATTTTTATCTTTTTTTTGAACTGGTTCTGGAACTTGAATTCAGAGCCTAGGCACTGTCCCCTCAGCTTATTTGCTCAAGGCTAGCACTCTATCACCAGAGCCACAGCTCCACTTCTAGCCTTTTAGTTGTTAATTGGAGATACGGTTCTCATGGACTTTCCTGCGTAGGCTGGCTTCAAACTGCAATCCTCAGATTGCCTTCTGCATAGCTAGGATTATAGGTATGAGCCATTGGTGCCCAGCTCAGTTCTACTTTTACCAGCAAAATTTACTCAAATGTAATATATTCTAAAAAGTCTTGTTCTACAGTAAAGTTGTCTTTTCCATTTTATACTAGAATGTTCCAGAAATAAATAATGAAAGAAGTGATGTATTAACTGAAAAGTCAGAAAGCATCATGTTACAGAAATACAAATCTGGACTTGAAATAAGGGAAGAAAATACTAAAAGTTTTTGTTCAGATACTGAATACAGGGAAGAAGCAGAAAAGATAGACCACTTACCAGTAGAAGAAACCACTACAGACGGTAACTTAAAGTTACACATATTCTACCTTGTATATTTGAGGGTTTTTTCCCCTACAAATAAAGGATCAGCAAAGTACCATGGTGGGTTGTCAATGGAATTTAGGGGAATAGCCTTTTAAGACTGTGTAGTATAGTTGGAGAAACTTTGTATGTCAACAAAGCATCATTGAAGCTCTTCCTTAAGTCAATATTTATAACACATATTTTTGTGGAAAGCTAGATTTCTGCATTGCTACCTCTGTTTCTTGTATTTTTGCTTTCATTTTTTGATGATGTGGGGATGTTCTAAATCAGCAATGCCTTTCTGAGAATAGAGCACTTTTCTTAATTCAAATGACCCATTACCAGTGATGTACTAATTCTTCCATCTTGAGAAAGACTTGTTTAAATATGCTGCTGATTGAAGGTGTTCAATCCTAGGCTGAAGAACCAACCACTTGGTGGAGATGTTGTAGAAAGAATGGTTGGACTAAAAAAGCCCTTCAAGACAATTTTGTATTCTATATTATGTTAACTATACTTAAGATTTGATATATACAGTTAGAACATAAATGAATAAAACGAATAGGATATACCTACAAATATATGCTACAGAATTTGAAAATATTTAAAGCATAGTAAATAAAAAAAGTAATGATTTTAGATTTGAAGCTAGCAATTCTAAATATTGTTAGACCTTGGCTGTTATAGAAATGAGAGTGTAACCTGTTAGAATACTTGTTTTAATTAAAGGATTCCAAGATTTAGGTAAAATGATGGCATAATATTTGTGCAATAATTGGCCAATAAAATATTTAAGGTTAAATGTTTTTGTTTTTTATAAAAATAGGTTAACACATATGTTTTATGAAAGAGTAAACTTTATTGTTCAACATAAAATTTTACTGTGTTCTCTTTATGACAGACTTACAGACTTTTGAAAAGAGCCTTAAGAATGAAATTAGTATGACGGTATCATCTCAGAGTAGAAATCAAAGTGAAATCTCTCTAAGCAAAACTTTCTTCATAGATAAAGTTGCAGTTAGTCAAGAACAAGCTTTGAATGTTACTGAATGTAGAAAATCAGTTACTACAGAAATCAAAGACAAGGAAGATTTGGAAAAAGGCAGTGGATATACAAATTTTAAATTACCACAGGATCCCTTTTCAGCCATGGATATGCTAATAGAAACAGAAAAGAGACACCCACGAGAAACAGAAGGATTAGGTCTTCAGCATACAGATGTGGGTGTACTTCTGGACATGGAAAATAACAGAGGATCAGTTGATAGTATTTTAGATGCTATGGCTCAGGAAAAAAATAATAAGGATGTTTCTCAGAATGAAACTTGCAAACAATTCATAATGCTTATAGGGACTCAAGAAAATGTTATGGAGAAGGAAAATTCAAATAGATACCAAAACAAAGCAGAACTGGATTTGTCTCAAGATGTAAAAATGAATCCCTCTCAGTGTGAATATAGCTTAAAGGATTCAAATAAAGTTAGATTAGATATTAAACTGTATAACAGAAAACAAATGCAACTGTTAAATAAAAAAAGTGAATGCAGCACATTACCTTTTAAACAAACTTCAAATTTCCACCAGGTCTCTCATGAGACTAAAGAAAAACCTGACCAGACTATTCCTTGTGATATAACAATCAACTGCCCCACTTCATCTGCTCCTTTTGCTAATTTGAAAGTGCTTAAAAATTCAGAAAACAATATTATGCTCAAGTTAGTGAAAACCAACTCAAGCCCTGAAGAAGGGACTGTAGGGGAAACTGTGAATAATACGCAAAACAGTCCATCTAAGAACTGTTTGGGATATGTGGAAAACAATGTAACCAGTTCCCATCTTCAGATTAACCATGAGAGCAAAGATTTGGAAACTTGTGCTCATGTGAAAACATCCACAGAATTACAGTTTTCCACTGAAAGACAGGTTGATGAAAATCAGATAACTGAAACTACAAAAAATAGTCCTTTTTTTGTCAATGTTAACAAAAGACAGCATACATTGTTAAAGAATACAGAGAAAACAGAGTCATTAAATGACATCATTTCAGAAAAAATGTACAATGAAGGTCAGCTGGAAGAATCGCATTCATTTCACATAAAACCATCTGAAGATTTAGTAAACAGGAGTGTAAGGTCATCCTTTGATTTTTCTACTTCAGATAAACAAATTGAGAAAACCCCAGTACACAGGAATTTAGATACTAGTCCTTGGTCAAAAGCAAATCAAAATGAAAGTCAAATAGTGAGTACTTTAACCTGTAGTATTCCTTTGTTGGTGAAGGAGAGACCAGCAGGTCCAACAGAAAACAAAAGGATCATGTCAGTGACTCCTTGTAAAAATGTTGGTATGGAGGATGATACAAAGGATAATCAGCCAGGTAAGAAAACCAGGGTATATCTTAGTTCTTAAAATTTGTTTTACTACTTCTTATTCTTGGTAAGAGCTTTCCAAATTGACTGTTTAAAATGAAAATACTTATTTTTTGTCTAAGCCTAATGTATTATATACATATGTAGATATGTAAAAGTTTGAAAGATTTAGATCTATAGAGATTTTTAAAACCTAAATCTAGGCCAGTATTACCAATGTGTACAATCACATTTAGAATTGTTAAGGGTTTTTTTTTTCTATCATGAAGGCATAATAGGTTTGGGTCATTAATTTTAAACTAGGATTAGTTACTTAATGACCTACTTTTGAATCTTCTTTTACTTTTTAGAACAGATGAATCTGAGGAGTTGGTAAGGTTCCTGACAATGTGCATGTTTATTCCTTTCCTATCTATCCTGTCAGCATCCTTAACTTCTTCCATCAAACACACATTTATATTTATTTCTTGTTTTGGTGTCAGTTTGGGGTCTTGAACTCAAGGCCTGGGCACTGTCCCTGAACAATTTCTGCTCACGGATTAGTATTCTGCCACTTGAACCACAGCTCCACTTCGGCTTTTTTGTTTAATTAGAAGTACATGTATCATGGACTTTCCTTCCTGGCTGGCTTTGAACCACCATCCTCAGATCTCAGCCTCCTGAGTAGGATTAAAGGTGTGAGCCACCTATGGTTGTCATTTTTCTTCCTTAGTTTTTTTTTTCCCTTGCAGTTTTTCTACTTGTTTCTATTCTTTTGCCAGCACCACAAATTTAGCTTGTTCTTGTTTTCTAATAGTACAACAGAAGAATTTTATGTTATTTACATCTGTTACTGTCTGAAATACTTTATATTGAATGCCTAAATACCTATGTACCTATATTAATACATTCAAATATTAAATAGCTTACGAGGATAGGGGGACTATTTTATTCTTAAAAAATGAGCACATGAAATGACATGTCTAAGCTTTCCTTTAAAATAATCCAGGTGCTGGGCACCAGTGGCTCATGCCTGTAATCCTAGCTACTCAGGAGGCTGAGATCTGAGGATCACAGTTCCCAGCCTAGGCATGGAAGTCTATGAGACTCTAATCTTCAATAAACCACTAGAAAACCGGAAGTGGCATTGTAGCTCAAGCAGTACAGTGCTCACCTTGAGCTGAAGAGTTGCAGGGACAGCGCCCAGGCTGAGTTCCAACCCCACTACTGAATAAATAAATAAATAAATAAAAATATTCCAGGAAAAAATAGAGTTAATTTGATCAATATGATTTAATGGGCTGAAGCTGGGTGATAGGTACACTGTGGCCTACGTTCTCTATTTTTATATGAATATTTTATATGAATATTTACAAACATTACATATGACTAGCTATAAACTGAAGATAAAAAGCAATGAGAAAAATGTTAATAAGTCTCATAATCAAGATTCTTGAGATTACATATTGAGATTTTTGAAAAATTTAATCTGTTTTTGATAGGCTCTTGCAAGGTAGTTCAAGCTGGCTTGAAACTCACAATACTGCCTCCACTTCAGTGCTGTGACTACAGGAGTAGCCACCATGTCCTCACTAATTTTAAGGAACTCTATTTAACAATGCACTTAGACCTGTTGAAGAAATGCAGTAAAATACAGTAAAAAAAATGCAGTAAAATATGGTCCTCTATAGGCTTTTAAAGAGAAAATTGAGAAAAAAATTAAAAAATATTTGGAGATTAAAAATAAAACAAATATGCCATGTTTACTAGCACAATAAAACAAAATGCTGAAATGTTAACTTCATTTCCCACACTATAATCTTGAATGTAAAGGATTATATATTAATGTGCAAAGATGAACATACACAAAATGACATTTGTAGTATTATGTTATTTTGTAACAAAATGTTTATTTTTTGCTGGTCCTGGGGCTTGAACTCAGGGCTTGGGCACTGTCCTCTCTTTGTGTTCAAGGCTAGCACTCTAGCACTTGAGCCACAGGACTCTGAGTAATTTGTTGGAGATAAGAGTCTCATGGACCTTACTGCCCAGGCTGGTTTCAAACCATGAGCCACTGATTCCCAGTGAAATGTTATTTTAGATTGTGTTAATTTTGAATTAAGTTCTGCCTCAGGGGCTGGCCTAATAAATATAAATTTTCCCAGTGCCATTTCAATGTTATAAGGAAAATATGAAAGACATCTAAAATTTTGAATTGAATTTGGAACGTTTATTAAGCATGGTATGTCTGTAACCTTTATAGTATGTTTCTTTAAATCAGTTTTATTTATTGAAGCTCGATGAACCTTTTATTTACCTTTCTAACCAGTCTTTGTGGAGTTATTTTGATAGCAGCTTCTTCAAATATAGTTTATAAACGTTCAGTCTTTCTCAATATTCTATATTGGTAAAATGGTCATTACAGAGTTGTTTACATGTGTAATACAGTAAACAGGAATAGGTAGCAATTTTCTGAGCTATTTTCTTTCAGAAGCTATTTATCCAATTTCACTTTTTAATGTGAAATTATGGTGACCAGCAGGTTTTAAGATTTGAAGTGAAAGGAAAAAAATATTTTCTAAATACAAGAGTATGGGAGAGAAAGTTCAGTTACTAAAATGAGTATCTAGAGAACAAAATTCAGTTGTTTCCATTTCCTCTTTGTCAATCAGACGCTACCAGCATTAACAGAGTTGCTGACACTTTGACTAACTGGAGTAACCATCCAGATCCCCAGGGGGAGCCCAGTGAAGAGAGGAATGCAGTTGCAAAAACTTTTTATGATTCTTCTTTTCCCACAGAACATGTAAGTCAATTAAAAATATTACTGAGCAGAACTTAGTGAGCTAATTCTATAGATATGTGTAGTACTGTATGTATCTGGATGCTTTAAGGCCTAACTGATCTCCAAAATAATATCAAGAGGGCAACACGGCACCATTTTTCACAGTTAAGGTTGATAGAAAACAGCAGGAAAAAGTCACAGTGTATAAATCAAATAGATAGAATCCAGCTTGTTTTGGAAAGGAGAGTATGATGACATCCTATTATTACTTGTACATTTTAGTCACATCAGTTTACAAATAGTACATTCTGAACACCCAAATATTTTTATTAACAAAGATGCCTAAAAATAAGCAAGTCAAGCTTAGCTGCTTTTGTTACACCTAGTTTAATTTATGTTATTTTTGGAAACTGAGGATTTTGAATTAGAATATAGAGTATGATAGGATAAAATAACTGAAATATAACATGATATATCCTAAGTATGGATGTATTAAGCAGAGTATTTGTAGAGGTCATATGACTCCTAACTAAATATAGTTGACAGGTTATTTGGCTAAATGTGAACGTTTTATTGTTTTCTGTTGCAAAATGTCAGCAAGAAAAAGTGTAGAGCTCAAAGTTTTCCAAAGAGTATGGGCAGTAACTGATTAGAAGGTGACTTCAAATGTTAGAAATGATTATATTTTAGAGGCACACTTTTTCCCGTAGCATAAAATGATAAAATCAACACATCCTTAGCAAATAACAGCTCTTTAAAAATGTATTTTTCCTTTTTTTGAATTGGAGAAATCTCAAATTAAGAACTGAAGCAAAAAATCAGGAATATCCTATCCTTTTCAAATTTTCATAACCAGACTTAGAGACAGAGGTCTACTTTCAACCTGGTATGTGTAAGTACTGACACAGGGTAGTTGGAGTCATAAATTTGGCATTAGCAAAACTATGTTTTCTTTTCTTGGAACAACTGGGTAAATCAGAGAATCAAGGAGAAAGTTTGAGATAAGAGCTAGATATCCCATACATCTTAGTGCAATGGAAATTTAAATATCTAGAAAGCCTATTTTTATAACTAACCTAATCGGGAAGTTCTGTGTCTAATTCCTGGTGTTCTTAACTGTAATTAATGCTGTTTCTGAGGCCTCAAAGAAATAGTCCCACATCCTGTAAGATAAATAACTCTTTTTCTACTTAATCCAAGGCGTGCAGTGATTTCCCAGGGTCATTTAGAGCTGATCTACAGCACACCCAGGCTAGATGGTTGGGTCTGAGTCAGATGTTACTGTGTTTTCCTCAACTATCATAGAAAACATTTCATTAAAAACAAAAACAAAAACAAAAAAAACCCACGCTGCTAAAAAATATAAAACACTGGCTAGACTGTTTTCTAAATATGCATATTAATGTTTGTTTTCTAAATATACATCTTAGTGTTTGTCAAGCACAATACTAAGCACTATATCCTAGGTTAAGCTTAAGTTACCAATATAATGTAGCTCAGTCCAGAAGTAGATCTTATGGAAGTAAAATCTGATTATAGCAAATCCACACTCAGTTGTCTTTTTTTGCCTTGTGGTGATAAAACTGAGCTGTTGAGGCAATTTGGCCTACAGTACCCCTTGTCTTTTGTGTGGGTAGGCAGTGCTGGCACTTAAACTTGGCCTTTGACTTGCTAGGCAGGCAGGCACTCAACAATTACTTGAGGCACACTACCAGACCTTTTTATCTTTTTTTTTTTTCTTTTTTAAGCTAGAGATTAAGCTTTTTGTCCAGGATGAGCCTCCTACCTCTACCACCAATATAGCTAGGATTATAGTTGTGAATCACCTGTAAAGTTTGTTGAGATGGGCTTGTTGCCTGAGCATGCTTCAAAACATGATCCTCCAGTTTTTGAGTAGCTCATGTTAAACCACCACTCCTGGCCTTATTATTTACATAGTTTGCAGACTATAAAGACAAGTGAATTTTATGCCAAGTGAATTTTTTTTCCAGCCAAAAAAGTTCTTTTTCACCGCATTCTTTCTGTAGTCTGTACAATTCTGTAAAACTTAATGTAGATACTAGGTGCGAATTCACTTTGTACATGTGAAAGCAGAACAGCTTGAAGTCTGTTTTCTTCTTGGGTCTGGTTGGTAGCCTGCTACTGTATTGATTATATTCAGGAATGAAAATGTAGAAAGGGCCTAGAGTAAGTCTATTCATTTCATATATTTAATCCCAGGCAGAAATAAATGAAATAGTATTAAAGCTATAAGAAATGTCAGGTAGGAAGCAGTAGGAAACAGCAAAATTTCTGAAGAAATATAGAAAGGGGAAGAGAAAGACATATGACAACATGACTGGCAATAGCTGGAACTAAAATTATTGCAGTAGGCTACAGGAACCTTAGTTATGGTAAATAGGAGAAATTTCATTAGGTAAGTAAAATCTTAATCTACATTCTACCTTGTTTCTTTAAGGTGAATCTCTGCTCCATTCCCCCACTATGTGGGTTGTTGAGGAAAAGAAATTAAAGCATATAGGTGTAAATATGTTCTTCCTTTTAATCAGAAATTAAAAAGCAAAAGAATCAAAATTTTTGGAAATTGCCAATTTGGTGGTAAAATAAGATTGAGTTTGAAAGATCATCAAGTTTTATATTTGATCTTTCTCTCATCTAATCTCACTATTATGTGGGTTTCTTAGAATCCATTTTGGTTCTGAGTTAAATAGGGTTTGTTGAATATTTAGGCCAGAATTACCAGAAATTCATACATTTATACACATTTTTACTCTATACCAGTTAGCTCTTTACAGTATTAAAATCTAGGATCTAAAAGAAGCTGAAAAAAACAAGGCTCATAAAGACTAAGACATGCCCAATCTCTTGGTCACCTTTTACGAATATGTTCTCAACCCAACTAGTGTCTGCATAATTTTTTAGGGAGTCAACTATAGCAATAGTTAGGGAACTGGTTAATTACAAACCATTCATTCGGTCATTCAGTGTGCCAGTACTGAGGCTTGAACTCAAGGCGTGGGTACTGTTCCTTAACTTTTGTGCTCAAGGCTGGCACTCTTATCATTTGAGCCACAGTTCCACTTCTGGCTTTTGGCTGGTTAATTGGAAATGTCTCATGAGCATTTCTGCCCAGGCTGGCTTTGAACTATGATTCTCACATATTGAGTCATGAGCCACCAGTGCCCAGCAGATCCTAACATTTAAAAATGAATTTATTACTCTAATTTCATATTAAGAATTAAAATGTTACTAAACTGCACTTTCACCAAACTGGAAAGATTTTAAAGCAGTGCTCAAAGGCCTTCACAAGAATTTATGGACAAATAACTAGTATAGCCTAGTTTCTGAAAGTGATCACTTTCTTAAATTGTAGGCATCCAATAGTATATTAAATTATAGGATATATGATGGAGTCCTCCTAACAGATCTGTAAGAAATAAGTAAATGCTAAAATTGTTTTAGTACTGCAATATAAACCTCATAAAAATATTTTTAAAAGACCAAAAGTTGATATCTATAATCATAGCTATTCAGAAAGCCAAATTCTTAAGGATTGAGATTTGAAACCAGCCCAGCCAGACAAAATGTCTAGACTCTTATCTCTAATTAACCAGCTAAAAGCCAGAACTGGAATCATGATTCCTGTGGTAGAGCATCAGCTGTGAGAGCTTGAAGAACTAAATTCAAGCCCCACTACTGACACATAACACACACAAACACACTTAAGTCTAGAAGATTTACACCAAAATGTTGAATGTTTGGGATCTTTAATGTGATTCTTACCCTGTTGTATTTTTTCTAAAACACACGTACATTTTTCTTATACGTAAAGCACAATAACTTATCTAAAAGGTATTTAGCAAAGATGAATACACTAAATCTGGGACTCTATCAGATTTTCACAGGAAATTACCTAAAAGTTATTTATTTTTTTCTTCAGTATTGGGGTTTGAATTTAGGGCCTCCATCTTACTATGCTAAATTCGCTACAGATGCTGAGGCACATCTCCAGACCTCTAATCTATTTTTGATTGGATAAACTGGAAGACAATTTCAACATTCAATAGAACATAGTTAAATTATTACAGTTAATAAAAGGGATTTTGTTTTTTTTGCTGCCACAGACAGTTGCTTATTAAAAGTTTCAAAGAGGGGCTGGGAAGGTGGCTCAGAGGTAGAGTGCTTGCCTTGCATGCATGAGGCCCTGGGTCCGACTCCTCAGCACCACATAAGCAAAAAAAAAGCCAGAAGTGGTGCTGTGGCTCTGGTAGAGCGCTAGCCTTGAGCTGAAGAGCTGAGGGACAGCGCCTAGGCCCAGAGTTCAGGCCCCACGACCGGACCCAAAAATAAATAAATAAAAGTTTCAAAGACCTCTAAAACTAGTCATAGGAAAAGGCAAGATAGAAAATTCTATAGAGATAAAAAATGCTAAAAAAAAAAGGGGAAAAAAAGACTTGTACGAAATGGTAAAATGTTGGTCTCAACATTTTGGGTAGTGAATTACAAATTTTAGTTTTTTATGTAGGTTTTTCTATTTTTAAATTTCTAACAAGTATTTTATTATTAGGAAAAAAGTCCTTACAATGAAGTTATTTTTTAAAAACATGGCATTTTATATGTAGCACTTGATGCAGTGTCTTGGAAGCATGCCAACTTTTAAATAAGTCATTGCATCTTCATGTTTCATCAACAATGGAGCTCAGAAATGAGAGGAAACATGAACAAGGAAAATTTGACCATTTACTTCCGTTTGAATGTTTAGGTTTCCACCAGTTTTGATAGAAGATACAAAAATAGACATGTTTGGAAAAGGTGTGAAAAATGAAACTAGATTTTACCTGTATAAATTTCTTTCATTGTAAACACAAGACTTTTAGAAATGTGGTATTCCTGGAACTGATTTTGCAGAGCTACCACATAAAAACACATATTCACACTGTACAGGATTTTATTGTGTGTGCTAAAACTACTAATGTCATTGTTAGCTACAGAGATGTTGGCTGTATTAAATACTGACAATTTAAGAGGCTTACCAGTTTTTTTCAAAGACAAAATAAATTCCATCTTTCTTAGGTAAAAGGAAAGGCTCTGATTTCACCTGTGCTACAAAGCCATTTTCAAGCAATCAAGGTTAAAGCTACTCTTGATCTGGCTGCCATTTCTGATGAAGATGATTGGCAGGATCATGTTACAAATCAACTAACTGAAATTGCAAATTTCCTAAATGCAGAAAATGACAACCAATCTAAAAAAAGAAAAGCAGAAGAGATGTTGGAAAAAATAGACTGAGTAATGTTGATAAATGCATTCACTGGTGAAATGATATGAGTGAAACACTGGCATAATTTTTATTGGAGTGAAAAACTTCATATAAAGCTACACAGTTGTCTTGAGTTTCCCTGTTTTTTGAATGTGATAGTTTTGTTATATATTTATTCTGCAAATATATCAATAATAATTTCTAGATTAGCTGAGTTAGCTGTTAGTATCCACATCCCCTTAATTAGCTTTATTTATTGTCTTCCCCTCTGCATGTAATTCTTTCCAAGTTATAATCTATAACTTTATAATTCCTGGAGTTTTCGATTATACTTTAACTTTGAGAGAACAAATGTCCAGACTATAAAAGATTTCAGTATATTTTACTAGGATTTCTTTTTTTTTCCCCCCAAAAGAACAAAATTATATGCATTAAATTTCAGGTATCAGAAAGACTCAAAAGGCTGTTTTTCACTTTGTTCAAGTTTTGTTTCCAAGCATTAAGTGTGTCATACAGTTGTTGCCACTGCTGTTTTCCAAATGTCCGATGTGTGCTATGACTAAAAATCAAAAAATTAAAACAAAGTATTAGTCAATCTTCTATCCTCTAGTATACTTTCATCATAGTACACACTTGAATCTACTTAAAAGCAAACCTTTAACAACAGATAATTTAAAATTAGAGAATTTAAAAATCAGATGCTTATTTAAAAAAATAGTTTTTGCCATATTGATTCTAAACCTATTCTCACCAACTACAAAAACAGACTCAAAAGTCATTAGTATTCTAGACAATGCTCAGTCATTAAATGAAATGTGCTGGAAAATAGGACTCTTTCATTAAATAAGCTAATCACATTCAGTTTGAACTTTAATAAAATTATGATAAACAGCCACTATTTAACTACAGTCAACAGAATACCACCTTGGTTCTCTAAATATTTTCATGAAATAAATGATCAGAATAAACTAAATGTTCTACAAAAAGCAGCAACATATTAAATATCTTACCTGACCACTACTTTTCTCTGGGTCTGATCAATTTTGCAGTAGACCATTTTAGTTCTCACTGCTGAAAAAATATTTTTCATAAGATATGTCATACAGAAACTTTCTAAGAAAGACAGTTAAGAGAAAACAAAATACAATAAAAATCTGCTTTGTTTTATAAAATAACTCTGTGAATCTTGTAAGAAAAGCAATATACTGCAATTAAGAGGAAGGTTATGTAATTGGCAGTCCTATGGCTGATGGGTCAATCTACTCAATTATTACTGTACAGTTTTAGGCTTCTAGTTATAGCTAGATTTCAGTTGCTCACACCTATAATCCTAGCAATTGGGGAGGCTGAGATCTGAGTACAAAGGTTCTGAGCCCGGCTAGGCAGACTGGAGAGGTTCACTGTAGTTAACTAGACAAAAGCCAGAAGTGGAGGTGTGCCTCAAGTAGTAGAGCACGACTTGTGAGGAGGAGTACAAGGACCCAGTACAGGAACTAGAACAAAAATAATTCCAGTTCTTCCTATAATTGTACACAGCAGGTGAAGTAAGTTCCTACTAAAGTTTTACTCTTTACTCTTAGATGACTATTGAGAGTTACATCATTAGAAATGATGTCAATGCCTCTATAGATTTTAATTTATTATCTTCCCAGCTTTTAAATAAAAAAATGGGGGAAAATTCTTGATTAACTCAATTACTTTATAATGTGATTGTTGAGGAGGAAATCTTATTTCTGACCTAATTATTAAAAAAAATTGGCAATGTTTAATATTTGCAAAGTATTTGCTATGTGCCAGGAACCATAATTTATCTACATTAATTCATTTAGAACTTAAAATTACAAGTGAATTCTTGCATAACCAACAAAGAAAATCTAGTCTTAAACCTAAATCTGATGCTAAATCTATGCTTTCAAACACCTAAAAGACTACGATTTATGCAATTTTAGAAAGTAGAACACCCAAACCAATGTCTGCTGAATTTTCAATCTACAAATGTATTTGCTTATCAATTAAACGTATATATTGGGGTGGGAAGTTGGCTCAGTGGTAGAGCGCTTGCCTTGCATATTTAAGGCCCTGGGTTCGATTTCTCAGTACCACATAAGCAGGAAAAAAAGCCAGAAGTGGCGCTGTGGCTCAAATGGTAGAGCGCTAGCCTTGAGCTGAAGAGCTCAGGGACAGCGCTCAGGCCCAGAGTTCAGGCCCCACGACCAGACCAAAAAATAAATAAAAATAAATAAAATGAACATATATATTTGCTACAAAACAATCTGCTTTGTTAACATAAGTTTCATTTCAAGGTAAAAATACAAGTTTCTACATAGTAAGAAAAAAAAGTTCTAGTTGTCTTACCATCAATAACAAAGGCTTCAACATCATCAGCTCCAATCTGAAGTTCTTGCTGCATTGTATCAAAAGAAATTTCTTTATTTTCTACTGCCATTCCCATAAAAGTAAGCAGTCTCATTTTTGCCATGTTCTGTTCATGTAACAGGCCTGAATAACACAATAGTGAAACTTGTTGAGTACCTAAATTAATGAAACATCTACACAATTATAACTCTTCGAGTTAAGCTGTAGAAATCACTGAGCCTTTAGAATAAAGTTATTTTTACAAACCATGAACTGACATTATAGTGTTTAAAACTTATTTTCAAAATTGGAAAGGAGGGAGGGGAAGAACAGGAATATGGTTGAGGGGTGAATTTGTTTGGTATATGTATAGATATATGGATATACCATAACACCTCCCCGATAATTTTTACAAATGCATTATACACACACACTTATTTTTTGTAACGTTTCTTTTCATTTAACATTCTTAACATTTTCATTTTCAGTTATAAAAATACTTCATTTCCTGTTATGCTACTCTGGATCTAATATTAAAAATCAAAACTTGCCAAAAATGTGCTCAGTATTTGTAACATACATACATATATTACATAAGTATATATGCAGTTATAGGCCAATATACTTTAATACTGGATAAAATTATCTGTTCCTTATAAGGAAAAAAGTAGGAAACTATATCAAAGTTTGTGTTATAATTTCTAATGAAACATGCTGTCGTAGTTAAGTGTAGGAAGAAAGTTTAAAAATATGATTCTTTTACTTTAAAAAACAAAACCAAAGAGAGTAAATGACTAACTTAAAGTTACAAAGTCAGCAGCTGTCCAAGGCCTAGAACTTAGGTCCATTTATAAAACAAAGCACTTAAAAGAAAAAATAATTTTTTTTTTTGTCGGTCGTGGGACTTGAACTCTGGGCCTAGGCGCTGTCCCTCAGGTCTTCAGCTCAAGGCAAGCGCTCTACCACTTGAGCTACAGCGCCACTTCCGATTTTCTGGTGGTTTATTGGAGATAGGAGTCTCACGGTCTCTCCTGCCCGGGCTGGCTTTGAACCGCGATCCTCAGATCTCAGCCTCCTGAGTAGCTAGGATTACAGGCGTGAGCCACCAGCGCCCGGCAAGAAAAAATAATTTAAAAATTCTACATATCTAAATTATATCATGGTTCCAAGCTGAAACAATTAAAGTATATCTTATATATTTGTTCTAATGGTATTACAAAAATTTTTAAACGAATACAGATTTGCATGTTCCTTTTTTCAACTTTGAAATTACATAAACTCAGCAAATGGTCATTATCAGTCTAAGTCTGTATTGCTAAAAAAGTTCTATGTCTGAGCACTCTCTAAAATGAAATTTATAACATTCATTTATTAGAGAAACCTCATTAATGTAGCACATGATCATCTGTTAATTAGCTGTAATTATGATACAGACTTCCTATTTGGCACAGATTCAACAAAAAACATGATCATCATAACTCAAATGAATGAGGTGCAAAAGTAAGTATTGTTAACTGGGTTTAATGGTAATCTACAAGCATCAAAAAAATCAATTAGTGCACATTAACCCTAATTAACAAATGCAAATCAGATGCTGATTAACTTTCTGAAGCAAGAAGGTAACAATTGGATAAGACCAGATTACATGTGGACATGTTAGGGCAATTCAGTTGACACAAGATAATGATACTACTGCCCCAAGTTGTCAGTGTTAATAAAAAAATACATGCTTTAACACCCTGATACCACCTGTGGAATCAACTTTCAGCTGTAACAAATGCTTACTACATTAAGAACCCCAAACATAAACTTTTAATGAAATGTTTTCTCCAAGGCATTTTAATATGAACAAATTGCTAATAGAAGATTCTTAATTTGCGTAGATGTTCAAAATCAAACAGATTAGGGAATCTGATTTCTAGCTGGCACAATAAGTTAGCAATGTTAGGAATTTTTTCCTATCAATAATATGTAATAATAATTATATAAAAATAAAACATTACAGAAGCTCAAAAATTCCTAAATATTCTACTTCTATGGGCATATATCTTCTTTGAATATGACAAAATGAGTTGAAGCTTCTGACATTTCTAAAATCCAATTAAAAGTATTCTTTAAATTCCACTGTTACTTTGTATAGGTACAACCTTAATGCAAGTGAAATAAGCGTATCAGAGGGATGAAGATTATTTCTAGGATAAACTATATAAAATTCTTATCTATTTTACATGTGGAAACTTATGTCTAAAAACACTTCAAATAAATGCTTAAAGTAACTACTTTAAAATAAACCAAATTTAAAGCCTCTTGTGCTTTTGTTCTAACCATCAAACTGTTAAGCAAGCAGGTGGTATGAGTTAAAGATTTACAGGAAGCTTTATTTGTTTCATAAAACTAGAATACTACCTTCAAAGAGGAAGGCACAATGTTGTGTGTCATATTTCAATTTTAAAGTTATAAAAAATCTAATTTTATGGAAACATTTATTCATTACTAATATGTCAAGAGCTTAATGCAGTAATAAAAAAATGTGCACCATTGAGCAATTTCTGCATTGTCACTGACCCGTCTTAAAATGCTGCAATATAGAAAACGCAGTTTTAATGCATGCAATAGCTTATGAACCCGTGCTCCTTTGAAACAGTCAATTACACATCAATGGGGGAGTGTCAAAGTGTTAATTACTACTCCTTTTGCCTTGGTGCGTAAATAAAGAGGATGCTGACATTAACATTCCATCACACAGCTTCATGCCACAAAGCAAATTAACTGGGACAGAATGTGGTTTTCTGGGTCTGGTGCACTTGGCAAAGCATTCTACACGCTTTTGCATCTATTTAAATCTTTGTTATATTTCAACTGCCTTACTATCAAATAAATCAATCTTTCCCAATCCCAATGGCTGCACAGATTTACAGATGACAGGAATTAAGTCTGGTCAAGTCTAGGCTAAGTCTAGTCAAGTAGATTATAATTATACTCTTCTTCATCTACACCTCAACCAAGAAAGTTATAATTCAGTTTTAATATGAAACATAGTCAACCTCTAAGGGATTTTGGTTATTGCCTAACAGAAAAATAAGCCCATTAGTTTCATAGTTGATGATCTTGTCAAAAAACTGACAAAACAAACACAAAAACTTAGTAGTTTTACAATTAGAATCTGTAAAGCTGCAACTTTTCTAAGTAGTCTGTAATTTTAAAAAAATCTCTGAAAGACAATGAAAATACTGAAGGTATTCAATTTTCTGAGATCTGATGAATTAAGGTAATGAAATTCAAAGATCTAAATCAGAATTTTTATACTGTCTTCAACAAAATGGAGGCCAGCAACGTTTCTATTGAAATAGAGTAAAATCAATACATACTCATTTCTATTTCTTTAGATCTAATTAATAATGGTACATACTTCTGTAATTCTTAAATTTTGGGCAGATGGGTCATGATGATGGATGAGGTGGGGTAATGGGTGAAGGGAGTTGGGTGGGAGGGAATGTGTAGGTAGTGTCCAAGCAAGAATGAAATACTGTGGAGGGAAAAGAACTGTTACAGTCTTTTAACTACATCTATTAAGAACAAATAGCAGTCAAAAATATAAATCACAATGTATCTAGAGAATGTTGCACACGCATACATATGTACATACATATACACACTCTTTAAACAACTTTATTTTTGTTGGTTGTGGGGCCTGAACTCTGGGTCTGGGCACTGGTCTATCAGCTCTTCAGTTCAAGGCTAGCGCTCTACCATTTGAGCCACTTCCACTTTTCTGCTTTTGTGGTGCTAACGAACTGAACCAGGGCCTCATGCATGCAAGGTAAGCACTCTACCACTGAGCCATCTTCCCAGCCCCATAAACAACTTTTTTTTTTTAATTGTGAAAATACAATTACATGGGCAAGGTAATGAATACATTTTTTTTTTTTTGCTGGTCATGGGGCCTAAACTCTGAGCCTGGGCACTGTCCCTTAGCTCTTCAGTTCAAGGCTAGTGCTATACCACTTGAGCCATAGCGCCACTTCCAGATTTTTCTGCTTATGTGGTGCTGAGGAATCGAATCTAGGGCCTCATGCATGCAAGGCAAGCACTCTACCACTGAGCTACCTTCCCAGCCCCTGAATACATTTCTTATCAAGCACTGTTGCCTCCTCCTTTGTTTCCCCTTCCCATCTCCCCCCACGCCCCCCCCCATTATAACTAAAGTAAAAATTCTTTCAATTACTTTTCTGCACCTCTCACAAATTTTAAAAACACATTATTAATGAAACTATTTTTATCTGTCTCTTTTCTAAACACACCTTTTTTTTTTTTTGCTAGAATTTAATGAGAATCACAGTAATGCAGAGTTAGAAGGGCCTAAAGACTTCATGGAAGTGAAAAAGATCCAGGTTATTTACCTGCTAGTTTCCTGCTCTTGTCTAAAAAAATTTTTTTTTAAATGCTGTTTATATCCTTGTTTCTGGTTCCTAATTCATCCTTAGGTCATCTTTTCAACTGTTAATGTAGGTCCCTGTTCTATAACACAGCACTCATTAGGGTAATCTACATATAAAGCCTGAAGTATATTTGCAGGGTCTCACAGTGGACAACTTTTACAGAGTAGCATGATCCCATCTTTCTATCTCATCAAAATCCCAAAACTTACCAAGTGAATCAATGAAGTCTTTATTATTCTGATAAAATTTGACATAGGATGCCAATTTAGCACTCACAAAAATGGTTAAAAGCTAAAAAGAGACAAGGAAAAGAAGCCATTAAAACGGAATTAAGACTCACAATCAAGGTTCCTCCCCCGCCCCACACTGACCTAATAAGAAAATATTTTAGGGAAGAATCAGTGGTTTCATCAGATTACCATTCAAGTCATCTACTTTCATATAGCTCATTAATATGCTATGAGCAATTAAGGATGGTGTGAATGGAACAACTCAATGGAAAATAATCAAAAAAGTATTTATACTTGCATTTCAAAAGTATGTTTACAAGGGTTTTTCGGTTTATTTTTGAGAGGGTCTTGGAAGGTAGCCCAGATTGGCATTGAGCTTGCAAGCCTCTACCTTCAGCCTTCTAACTGTTGTGATTATAGGAAAGTATTACATGGTTGTTTATGGCTGGGTTTTTTTTTTTTTGGTGGTTAACTGGAGATAAGAGTCTTACACACTGGCTTTGAATTGCAATATTCAGATCTCAAGATTCCCAAGTAGCTAGAATTACAGCATAAACCATGTAGCAACTGGCTTATGATAAAATATTAGATGTATCTTCCCAATTTGGAAGTAATTCAAAGAAGAATGTACTATCAAAGTTCATAATGGACTAAGGAGATGATGGTAAGGAAGAATAGCACTGTTTTTAGTGGTGGAGAAGACGTGGGCCTAAATAGCAGCCTGATCTGGATATAAAGGCAGTAGGATCTCTCTAGTAGTTATATCAATCAATGCAAACAGAAGTCTAATGCAAACTTATTGCTCCAGCATGTAACGTTTTGGAAAAAAGAGACTTGAACAACTACTTACATCATGAATAAGCTCGCCTTCCAAAAACTTGACTGGTTTTAAAGTAAGAAGATGGTCAAAGAGAAATGCATTTGGATCTTTCAGTGCTCGTACAATACACCTTAGTTAGAAAACAAAACAAAAAGGCATGATCAGAATATTGAAATTCTAACCATATATACTTTTGCAAATCACAAAATATTTTCAATAAACCAAGAATCTAATATACAACACTACAAGAAAGGTTCAAGAGGTTCAAATAGGCTTATAAATATTTAAAATGCAGATATACTTGTTTTAATATGATGAAATAAAATAGATGGCAGACAAACAAGCTGAGGAGAAAGCACCAAGGTGAACAGAGAGCAAGCAGCAGCACCTTGCCTTGTACCATATGTCAAGTGCTTTATAGGCTTCTCATAAGTCATCCCTCCAACACTGACACATACAATATCATCATGCCTATTTGTCATCATTTAGAAAGAAGCCCAAAAAGAACAAGTAACTTCTCAGCAAGTTCTAAATAAGGTATGGAGCAAAATTTTGAATGTGGCAGTTCAGCCTGTAAGGCCCATACTTGTTCTCACCAGAGCAAAGCTTAATATTACCTGTGGGCATCAACTCGAGCCTGGGAAGCATTGTCTTCTGTGTAACTTCCAAGCAATTCCACCATGACTTTTGAAGCAGCATCACTAAAAAGAAATACTGCTTTAGGAACTGAATGTTACTGTCAAGCAGTTAAAAGTACATGACAAGACCTGTAATGGTATATAATAGAGAACAAGACACAGTCCCTGTCTACAAAAGAGAAGGAAAAAAAAGAAGTAATAATCATGGCACTTCCCTTTTAATATGAAAGTCTAGATAAAACTAAGGGGAAAATAACTAATGAGTAAATGCTATCAAGGAAATAAATGGTGAAGTAACAAAAGTCACAAGAAAAGTAGAAAGGGAAGATTGCTTTATCAAGTGAGCAGGAAGTCTCTCTCAAGAAATGACAAGTAAATAGAGACCCAAGGTATAAAATATCCCTCATTATTCTTGACTTGGCTGTGTAAAAAGCTATTGGTGGAAGGTGGGGGAAGATGATTTTCCAGAATGAGAGAAGACTGAACTAAAGGCACAGGATGGGAAACTGTTGAGACAAGGATGGCAGCTGAACCAACATCAAATATTTACAGAACTGTTTAAGCTATCTCTCCAATTAAATTAGCCTTAGAATTATACACACGATCAATGATTTCTGCCAAGAAGAGGATAAAGTAGCTAAATACATTCATTTCACTTGAACTCAGAAAATTGTTTCTCTTCACCCTTCATTACTTCCTTTAACCGATGAATCTTGAGCTAGTTCAGAAAGCTCTGCTGTAGTGGGAGAAAACAGACCTGGGTTTCTCTAAAACACTTTTTTCTTCACATCTGCATCAACTATTGTCTTTAATTCCAGTTCCTTCTTTGGGTGTCACTCCACCCACCCAGTGCCCATTATGTGCTGAATATTCTTGGGAGTGCAAAGGTTGACAAAGTTCTTTGTTTTCATTGAACCTGCACCTATATTTAACAAAGGGCATTCAATGCTCTCATAAAAATGCAGTGTTTGGCCAGGCGCTGGTGGCTCATACCTGTAATCCTAACTACTCAGGAGGCTGAGAAGTGAGGATCGTGGTTCAGAGCCAGCTTGGGCAGGAAAGTCTGGGACTCTTATCTCCAATAAACCCAGAAAACTGGAACTGGCATTGTGACTCAAGTGGTAGAGTGCCTGCCTTGAGCTCAAGGACAGTGCCCAGGCCTAGAGTTCAAACCCCATGACTGACAAAGAAATAAAAATACGGTGCTATAAAAAGAACTGAGCCTCAAAAAGGAATGTTTCAGGCAGAAATGAAGTTGTATGGACTAGATCGTGTCTAACAAGGACATATTTTCTGAAACAGGGAGTCAATATTTTAGGTTTTGTAGGCTGAGATCTCTGCTGCACCTACCTACTCAACTTGACAAAAGACAGTACAGAAATGACTCAGCACATGTGTTACCCATAAGACTTCATGGACACCAAAATATGGTATCCATATAATGTTCTCATCATGTAATATTACTCTTGCTTTGATTATAAACTGCCAGTGCTAGTGGCTCACACTTGTAATCCCAGCTACTCAGGAAGCTGATATCTGAGTATCACGAAGCTAGCCAAAGCAGGAAAGTCCATGAGATTCTTTATCTCCAATTTACCATTCCAAAACCATAAGTGGAGCTGAGGCTCAAAAGTGGCAGAGCATTAGTCTTGAGCACAAAAGCTCAGGGACAGTGTTCAAGCCCCATAACCAACAAAAGTAATTAAATAAAAAACATTCTTAGCTTGTGGGCCATCCATAGGTGCCATTAACTATCCAGCTGGGAAAGGTCATGGTGGTGTGTCCCGGACACAGGTTCATTATGTCAAGGTGATGTAACAAGAGAAGGTAGGTGGGGTGGGGTATGTGTGTTAACACAGAGGAAAGCTGAGGGACTATTCATATAAAGCTTTTGTAGTCTGTTACTGAGCCATCCAAAAATGATTTTCATCACTTTCACCAAGCTGAGGCCCCAGAGAGGCCTTGTACCCTATATTAAGAATTTGTACTATAACCTGGAGAAAGTGAATATCCAAGGAATATGCTGAAGTTTACAACAGCAGTGGCTGCCCAGTGAAGACCTGTGACAAGCTCAGAGATAGTACTGGTTTATAGAGAGGTAATTACTGTGAAGGCAGAAATAACCAAATATGGTACTTTCAATAAGAAGATGAAGGAGGCAGGGGGTGTATATGTTAAGGATGATATGAGATTGACCATGTGCTAGTAAGAACACAGAGACTTCACTTGCAGAAGTGAACGCTAAATTCATTTTGATTACATTGAGTTTGTGGCACCTCTGGGCCACATGCAGACAGAAACAGGAGGCAGTTGATATACAGATCTGAAGCTTGGAAGGTCAGTCTGGGTTCAAAACCTAGACTGTTACTCTGTAGGTGATAGAGGCCATGGGAACATGTCAGATGACCCAGGAAAAGGGAGCCAAGTGAGCAGAAAGGTTCTAGGCTGACAGCTTGTTTAATACCAATCATCTAAGGAATAAGACCAGTCATTTACAAAGGTACCAAAATGAACTGTCAAAAGAGGTGGAGAAAACTAGCACAGTGGGAATCAGCCAAGAGAAGAGCTTTTGAGGGAAAAGGGGTACAATACTGTTGAAAGGCCAGGACTGGGTCTACAGAATGTCCACTGGGCTGTATCTGTTCTTACAGGACCTGAAATTCAAATACTGCAAACTAATTTTCACTTCAGAAAACTAGAGGAAAGTCAAAGGTGTTATACTTGGAAAGTGTTACGATAATTTCATGTGACTGTCATATACTCTGTAGTTCAAACTATCACTTCATATTATTGTCTTGTGTGTCTGACTTTTTGCCACTGTTAGTTTTGGGAATAGTCATTCTCCCAACAAATATATATCATTTGTCTACCAGAGTCATGTACTGTTCTAGTAACAAAGCAAAATCCCTACCATCATGAAACTTATGTTCTTGTGGGGATAGTAAACATTAAATATTTAGGATGCTTGTTAGTAATAGCTAGCACAATGGAAAAATAATACAATAGGGATGGAGTGGTGCTGTTAGCTAGCTACTAGGAAGTGTTTCTCACAACAACTAACTAGATGTGAACAGGGTAGGGGTGGGGCAGGAAGCAACATGGATACAAACAATTTACTATAGAAGAGTGAGTACTATGGTGCTGGAGTTGACTGTCTTTTCCTCTAAATAAAGCCATTAAAAGATTCTCTGTAGAAAGGAAACTATTTTTTTCTGTTGGTATTGAGTTTGACCTCAGGTCCTTGTGCTAGCTTGACAGGCCCTGCACTACTTGAAAGTTGCTTCTGGTCCTTTTTAGTTTTTTGTTTAGTTTTAGTAAAAATTATTGCCTCTATAGGCCTGCACCAAAATCATGTCTATACTTCCTGTATAATTTGGATGGCAGGTGTCCACCATTGTGCTTAGCTTGTTGAATTAAGATGAGGTCTCACTTTTTTGTTCAGGATGGCCTCAAAGTGCTATCCTCCTGATCTTTGCCTCTGAAGTAAGTGTGATTACAGGCTTGAGCCACCACATCTAGCTTTTACATGGTCACTGTTCTTGCTGATACTAATACATTAAACATTTTGGCACTAAAAGCTAGCATAAAACTTATCTGAGAAAACTAAAAAGCTGGGTCTGGCTGGGTTGATGGTGCCTCACACCTGTAATGTTAGTTACTCAGAAGGCTGAAATCTGAGGATTACAGTTTAAAGCCAGCCCAGGCAGGAAAGTCCAGGAGACTCTTCTCTCCAATTAAGCACCAAAAAAGCTGGAAGTAGACCTGTGGCTCAAGTAGCAGAGAGCTAGCATTTGTTGGCATTCTAAAAGTACATATAAAGAATAATAAATATTGTAGGAATAGGTTTGTCTTTTTTTGAGTAGAACTCAGGTTTTGAACTCAGGGCCTTCCACTGGCTAGGCAATGCCTAGCAGTTGCCTCCAAGTTGCTGAGTAATGCCTCCAGTCTTCTTGGCACTGATTATTTGGAGACATGGTCTTGCTTTTCTCCCAGATTCATACCTGTCCTGAAATCCACCTGTTTTAGGCTTCCTGTCATTACTGGGATAACAGACATGCATCATCACATGCAGCTTTCTTCCTGTTTTAGTGAGTTGCATGGACTTCTCTGCTCTGGCTGGCCTGGCACACAACCCTCCAGATCTCAATCTCTCAAGTTGTTAAGATTACAGGCATTAGCCATTGGCATCCAGCTGTGAGAACCTCTGACTGATGTACCCTCACTACCACTCAACAAAAGCAACAGCATGACTGTACTAAGATATGAAAGCACCATTAATTAAACCAGTCAAATGTCACACAGAGTTTTGGAATTAACAACCGTACTAGTTCCAAAACAAAAGCAAGTGTTGGCTTTTACAAGTTTACAGATGAGGTAAAACACTTTAATCTCTGCAACTATCTTTTAATTTAGAAGGTACAATTTATAGAAATAGGTTTATAACAACTGTGGAGAACAAAGTAGAATAAAAATGACTGGCCTTACTAGTCTTCAAAAACTACACCCACCTATTTATATTCCCTATTAAGTTGTAAGTTCACTACTTCTGAATACCTTTTCTTACAATCCACAAGTGCCTCATAAAGTAGTCTTAAAAGGGTGTGCTTCTTTTCAGTGGTGAGATTCCAGTCAGAAATCCATTTTCTCACCTACAATGAGATTCACAACAGGAGAAAACTTAGTATCATGGCAGAGTGCATTTTCACAACTTAAAGATAACATTTAGGATACAAAAAAACAGATTATTATTTTAGCTACAATATAAAACTACATTTTGTATTAGCAGAGCAAGTGTTCCATAAGTAACTCACTTGATCCAGCTCAGTTGGAATGTACTGGATGGCCCCACAAGATGCAGCCACTTTAATGAGGCTGCAGTACACGGTGTATCTTACAGGAGTATTCTTATCCATCCCATGAAAAAGGTTGCTTAGCCTGGTTAACAAGTAAAACAGTGTTTAAGATGAGACACCACCATATTAAGTTCAGTTATTTGCTCTCACAACAAACTTGAGTAATAGTAATAATAATAGTAATAGTAATAATAGTAATTTCCCTATTGTCAAGGAAGGAATTAAGATACACAAAAGTTAAGTGACTACCCAAGGTCACAACTAGTAAGAGCCATAGCTGACAGTCAAAGTTTCAAAAATTTTTGCTTTTAGTCATTAAAAGGTAGTGCCATAAAAACAGACAGGCCTCTTTCAGATCTTAACTTACAGCTGCAGTCTCAGAGATGGGCGCTCGCCTTCCCGAAACTTAACCAGCTTTTCACATAGGCTCTCAATCAATGCTTCTTGCTTGTCTGGTTCCAGGATCAACAGGAGTGATACCACGCTGTTCATCACACTTTCAACATCTACACAAGTACCAATAACACAACAGTGATGCTCTAATACGAAATGTGTCTAATAAGCATTCTCATAATAATGAAAAAATTATACTTGACATTAAAATATGTCGTTTGGTTACTTACTATGAAACAGTACTAGAGGGCTCTTTTCTGTCAATGGAAAGCTGCAAACATAGAGTATTATGAATTCAATCTAAATAAGCATTGTTGCTCAGCAACATTCAGAAAGCAGTGTGTGTATTTTATAAAAGACAGCAACTGCTAGCTAAGTTTTGGTTTCTAACCAGTAAAAGATAGGTGACATACATGTCCATATACAAACTTCTATAAGATTTTACTGGCAGGTATTCAATGATAAAGGTATTATTTGTTAGGTTTTAGGTCAGAATGCTGTCTGAATTGAGGAAAACCTGGTACTTATGTAAAGAATTATTCAGAAAAGAAAGCTATTAATTTTCTGGTTAAATGATTTATTTTCAGGTATTACAGATATTATTCCAATGCCAATCTTACCACAGTGCCATTTCTGGCTTTTTTTTTTTTTTTTTTT